AATATATAAGCCAACATTTTATTAAGAATTTTAGAACAATAACAATTTTCTAAAACACTAGAATTTTACACTCATAAAAATTTATACTGTGGTGTATTAATCTAGTGTATTACATTAATTACTAAGTTAGTAGTCATAATGGCTGAAAGAACAGAAGGCATGGTAACTAAAATTACTTTCAAGATTGTGTTTTAATTGTTGGAAACTTTCAAACAAGAGTAAATATACAAAACATCACTTAATTCTTAACACACAAATCATCTGTTTCAAATTGTTACTCATAAAAACAATGATAGTCTGGATTCAAGAATAGGCTTGAAAAGTAAATAACTAGATATTACAAATAGTCTTTTAAAAATTCCACTTTCTCCACAAATGTCTTCTTTAGCTTCACCTCGGTCTTCCTGAACAGAAAGTCAACTTTCCCTTCCTCTATACCCTTACCCATCAATTAGAGATCTTACCACTCTAATTTCTGATTTGGCTCATTAGAGATCTATTATTTCCCCTAATAGATTATAAGCAACTGGAAAGCAAGGTCTGCATCATATTTATCTTGGTCTCCTTATTAAATCTAATTTAATACCCAATATCTACTAGTCTTTTTTAGAGTTGCCTGTTTATTAGTGTTCAATGAACCACTGTATTTTATTTCATTATTTTTTTAATTTTTAAAGTTAATTTTTTAATGTGAGTATAGTTAACACACAGTGTTACATTAGTTTCAGCTGTACATCTTAGTGATTTGGAAATGCTGTATTTTAAAATTCCACAGTTTTATACAGTTTCTTATGACAGTATTTCCCCAGCTAATAAGCTGACTTTGAAAGTATCTTACATTTAGATTACATGTGAAATTTAAAAATTTAAATCTTATAACTGCACAGTTTGTCCAATACTCAAAAACAAATACTGATTATGAATGAGTGAATTTGCTGTCACTGTGTCATTAGCTATTAAAATCGCTCTTCAATCTTAGTTTTTTATTTTCAGATCCTTTCAGTAAGACATAGAACTACTTCAAATCTAGCATCTTTGAATGATTACTATGTGAAACAGGTAGAATAAGCTATTTTTAAATCAGCTTTATTGAGGTTTAATTGACATGCAATAAACTGAATATACTTAAAGTGTATAATTTGATAAATTTTGGAATATGTATATACCTGTGAAACCAGTACCACAATCAGATTAATGAACATTTCTATCATTCCCCCAAATAGTCCATCTCACCTTACTTCTCCCAACTCCCCATCCCACACAACCATGGATCTGCTTTCTGTCATTTGATTTGTTTGTATTTTCTAGAATTAAAAAAAAAAAAAATCAAATAGTATGTACTCTCTTTTGTATGGCTTCTTTCAGCATAATTTTTATGAAAATTTACCCATGTTGCTGCATGTACTAACTGTTCATTCATTTTTATTGTTGAGTACAGTATTCTATTATATGGATATATGACTATTTGTTCATATATGCTCCTTTGGTCGATATTTGGGTTGTTTCCAGTTTTCAGGTATTACAAATAAAGCTATGTTATATTCTTTGTATAGACATATGCTTTCGTTTCTGTTGGGTAAACATCAAGAAGTGAAATGACTGGATCATATAATAGGTAGATGTTTAACTTGTTAAGAAATCACTGAGCTGTTTTACAAAATGGTTATACATTAATTGCAACTTCACCATCAGTGTGAGGTCCAGTTCCTCCACATCTTTGCCATTGCTTGCAACTATCTTTAATTCTAGCCAGTCTAGCAGCTGTGAAATGGTATCTCACTGTGGTTTTACTTTGCATTTCACTAATGTCAATTGAAGCTGAGCATCTTTTTACAAGTTCATTTGCTAATCCTATATCTTCCTTGGAAAGTGACTATTCAAATTTTTTGCTTCCTTTATTGAATTGTTTGTGTTCTTACTGTTGAGTTGTAAGAATTCTTTATATATTCTAGATACAAATCCTTTATTAGGTATATTATTTGCACTTTTAAAAGAGAAATGCAACTACTTTAGATAATTATGCGTTGTCAATATTATAATACATGGTCTATCTGTATTTTAAATAATCCTTATAAAAGGGAACCATTATCTCCATAATCCTCCACTACCAATTTTTCCCATGCCTAATAAAGGTGGCCAGCCCGCTGGCATATAAAAACAGAGAGAATAAGAATAGAAATAGAAAACATACTGATTTTCTCAACATGCTTCTTAATCCCTCCTGATTTTAGGAGCCTCTTAGGAAACTATTAGTAGGAGATAACAGAGTGGATCATGTAAATGATAATTAGCCCTCTTGTTTCTTTTAAGCAAAATTTTAAAAAGCATTTAGCAAGTAGTAACATTATTACTAATAAAACCTTCTGTACTTTTTATTAGATTTCTCTCTTATACTAAGACCTTATGTTTACATGAATGTTTTCCTTATCAGACTAAAGCAGAACATTCAATACAGTACCTAGTGAATATTGCTATTATTTTTGTGATTCTTTTTTGTCGTTGTTGTTGTCTTTTTGTTGTTGTTGTTTTTATGGAGCCCTGAGATCAAGACCTGAGCTGAGATCAAGAGTTAGACACTTAACCAAATGAGCCACCCAGGTGCCCCTCTCTCCCCTTTTCTTTTAAGTGGAATTCATCCTACTAAGTGAAAAAATGAAAGCCTTTTTTAGAGTATCCATGTAAATTAGTACTCCTTGCCAGAATAAAGCATACACATAATTATTTTTTAAACTTTACTATTTAATGGATTGAAGACCTAAATGTGAGACCTGAAACCATAAAACGCCTAAAAGAAAACATAGGCAGTAATCTGTGGGACATCGGCCTTAGCAACACATTTATGGATTTTTCTCAAGCAAGGGAAACAAAAGCAAAAATAAAATATTAGGACTACATCAAAATAAAAAGCTTTTACACAGGTAAGGAAACCACCAATAAAACAAAAAGGCAATCTACTGAATGACAGAAGATATTTGCACATAATATACCCAATAAGGAGTTAATATCCAAAATATATAAAGAAATTACACAACCAACACCAAAAAACAAACAATCTGATTAAAAAATAGGCAAAGAGGCACCTGAGTGGCTCAGTCAGTTAAGCGTCTGCCTTCGGCTCAGGTCATGATCCCAGGGTCCTGGGATTGAGGCCCACATCAGGCTCCCTGCTCAGCGGGGAGTCTGCTTCTCCCTCTGCCGCTTCCCCCCTGCCTGTGCTCTCGATCTCTCGTGCTCTCTCTCTGGAGCAAATAAAATCTTTAAAAAAAAAAAAAAATAGGCAAAGCACCTGCATAGACATTTTTCTAAAGAAGACATACAGATAACCAACAGATACATGAAAAGATGCTCAATATCACTAATCACCCAGGAAATGCAAATCAAAACCATGATGAGATACCACCTCACACCTGTTAGAATGGCTATTATCAAAAAGACAAGAAATAACAAGTGTTGACAAGGATGTGGAGAAAAGGGAACCGTTTTGCATTATTGGTGGGAATGTAAACTGACGCAACCACTGTAGAAAACAATATGGAGGATCCTCAAAAAATTAAAAATAGAACTACCATGGGGCGCCTGGGTGGCTCAGTTGGTTAAGCGTCTGCTTTCCGCTCAGGTCATAATCTCAGGGTCCTGGGATTGGGCTCCATGTCAGGCTCCTTACTCAGTGGGGAGTCTGTTTCTCCCTGTCCCTCCGCCCCTAGCTCCCGTTCATGCTCTCTCTCTGTCTCAAATAAATAGATAACATCTTAAAAAAAAAAATAGAACTACCATATGATCTAGCAATTCCACTGCTGGGTATTTACCCAAAGAAAACAAAAACACTAATTCAAAAAGATATATGCATCCCTGTTTTAAAGCAGCATTATTAACAATAGCCAAGATATGGAAGCAACCCAAGTGTCCATCAGCAGATGAATAAAGAAGATGTGCTATATAAATACACAGGATGGAATATTATCAGCCATAAAAAAGAATGAGATCTTGCCATTCACAATATGCAGGGACCTAGAGGGCATTATGCTAAGTGAAATAAACAGAGAAAGACAAAGACCATCTGATTTCATTTATATGTGTAGTCTACAAAACAAAACAAACAAACTCTTAAATATAGAGAACAAACTGGTGGTTGCCAGAGGGGAGGGGATTAGGGGGATGAGTGAAATAGGTGAAGGGGATTAAGAGATCCAAACTTTCAGTTATAAAATAAGTAAGTCCTGGAGATAAAAAGTACAGCATAGAAAATACAGTCAGTAACATTGCAGTAACTTTGTATAGTGACTACACTCATCCTGGTGAGCACTGAGTAACACATAGAATTGTCAAATCACTACGTTATACACCTGAAACAAATAGAACATTGTATGTTAACTATACTTCAATTAAAAAAAAAAAGAATGAAAACTTTACAATTTAAGACTTCAATCTACTCAGCAATGTAAAAACCACCAAGGAATCTTTTCCAAACAAGAACCAATCTGGGGAAGTTCTGTGGCTAAATAATCATCCTCCTAAAAAGTAATAGATACAGGGGGGAAAAAAGCATACAGAATCAAATCTACTCATTTTAAACTATAGAAAGAAAACACGTTTAAGTGCCTTTAAAATATTTTTATATACAAATAACAATCGCATACATTTAAAAAACTTTATGAGACACATAACTATATTCTCCAAATCAGAATAGTTCTCATAAGATACTGAATGCTAAGCCTATTTTGATACTGTTTTTTAAAAGGCCCAGTTTTAAAAGAATAAGCTTCCCCTAGAAAGAAAAAAAAAAAAGAAGAAGAAGAATTTTGGCCTATTAAAGACAGTATCTATTGATAAAACATAGTATTGTTCCCAAACATGCAATAAAGCATCACTCTAATGCACGTTCACTATATGAAATAATCACTTAGTAAAAAAAATTGTGTTATCTCTTAAAATTTTCAGTTCAATTGTTTTTCTTTTGTTACAATGAAAAATTCAATGATTGGCTTCAAATCTTTTTTTAATAATGTAAAATATGTGAGCTTCATTATATGTTAAAGAAAATAAAAATTATATGACCCAAAATCTATTTATTAAAGTTACAATAAAATACTCTTCAATGCATACAAAATTGCAAAGTAACTGATGTTTTTTTTTAATAAAGATTCCAGATATAATATTTACTGACAAGATAAAACAAAGATATGTTTAATGACTTTTGTCCTGTGTTAAGGTCACCTTATTGAACGATACATCATGAAATCAATAGTTGTACATCTAGGAAATTTACCAATGGAGCTCTCTTCTACTGGTGTGTATATTTTAATTTGTCTCATGTGGGTGTCTCTTCCATTTTGATGATTGGCTAGAACAGCAATCTGTATCATGAATGTGCGAGTTGGCTTCTTATGATTATCAGTTAAGGGTACGTGAATCCAGCCACTTGGTTCCACCAATTCAAGTTGCTGCCAAGAAAATGAAAGTCAGATTATGTTTTCACACAATGAATATAATTTATTATAATGAATATATTCTAAAGTTGACTTAAAATTAACTTTTTGCTCACTGAGAGAATGACAATATGGTAACAACCATTACCAGTTATTTGGCACTTTTGCATCATGGTCCGTTTTTATACTTGCTAATAAGCACTCTACATGTACCATGTTAGTAGACAAAATAAAAATAGATGTATGCAGTCTTAGTGTTTACAGAAACTTGTATAACTTACAAGTTTAGAATCAGACATGTATACATGTATACAGCCAATGGAAGACCATGTTGATATAAGTAGGAAAAGAATCTAACATTATGCTTCAGGTATACTTTATTTCAAGGACCATACCTAATATACTTAAACACATTTAAAAATAAATCAGATTCTATATAAACTACAAGAATATTAACAAAAAGAAAATCAATCATTAAACAAAATCAAACAAAGCTTTTTTTCTTGAACAACAGTAAGTGATTTATCTAGTCTGGATGATATTCTAAACCTAAAATCTAGATTTTCAATAAGAAATGCCAGATAAATTTTTTTTAATTCTTAATTTTATTTTAATCAAGAGTCCAAACTATCCTTCCTTAACAAGGGAAAGAAAATCATAAGTCAACCTCTTTGACCTCAGCTGCAGCAACTTCTTCCTAGACACATCACCAAAGGCCAGGGAAGCAAGGGCAAAAATGAACTATTGGGACTTCAAGATAAAAAGTTTTTGCACAGCAAAGGAAACAGTCAACAAAACCAAAAGACAACTGACAGAATGGGAGAAGATATTTGCAAATGACATATCAGATAAAGAGCTAGTACCCAAAATCTATAAAGAACTTATCAAACTCAACACCCAAAGAACAAATAATCCAATCAAGAAATGGGCAGAAGACATGAACAGACATTTCTGCAAAGAAGACATCCAAATGGCCAACAAACACATGAAAAAGTGTTCAACATCA